GCATTCTTTTTTTTTAATTTCGCCGACAAAAAAAAATAATTTTAGGATTTTTTGCCTTTTTTTTTGTAATAGTTGTCAATAATAATCTGTCATTTGTGAGTCTGAACATGTCGATTTGGTAATTTTTTTAAGATTTATTGACATTGAGATGATTTTTCCACGAGGTAAAGAGAAAATATGTTTTTTGTATCGAGGTCTACCAGCCCTGAAAATATTTGCACTTTAATTTAAGACTCGCCCTCAGGGTTGGGTAACGACGCGTAGAAAATTAATTTTCTACGTGCGTATGTAGAAAAGTGCGTAGAAAATATAGAATATGTAGAATATTATGTAGTATTAAATAGAATTATTCTGTTGTTATTAACTTTGATCTTACTATTGAAAACGTTTAAGATATCTATAAACTTCGACTTTCGACTATAGTGTGTAACAAATCAAGGATATAGACAGACGACATCCAGAAAATGACAGAAAATACGATATGCCTGTGAATTATAATGACACAACAGTCACTGTCACGCATCCTCCCTTTGTACGTATCAATTTAAAATAATATGGAAGTAAATAGTTAAGCTTTTTTTGACATACTATATATTGTATGATCGAAAAAAGACGGCATCAGCGATGGCTATGAAATGAAGATCGCTGTCATTTTATATGCAAATTTATATGGGAAATGTCATCGATCGTGATTTCCTAGTTAACTGGACGACTTTTTTTTTCGATTATACGATACTATCCATTTGTTAAATAATAAATAACAATTAGAGATATCGTTATTAGTTTATTTCTTGTACTAATCGTTTTGATTGAAGTATTTGAAATAAATATAACTCAAAAAAGACTTACAATATACAAAACTAATTTTCTACGTCTGGACATGTACAAAATGTAAAAAATTAGTTGGTGTAGAAAATTAATTTTCTACCGACCCAACCCTGACTAGCTCTGAAAATATTTGCACTTATTTAAGACACACCCTGTATATAACGTTTGGGTTAATAAGCACTGATAAAAAAGATAGACTTGAACTAAAGTCGTCATCGTTCTTGTCAAAAAAAATTAGTGGCAAGAGAATTTATTTTAGCGTAAAAGAAAATATTTTGCCTGAAGAAAAACTCTCTTAACTCAAGAAATCTCTTAACTCTTGAAAAATTCGAAAATTTCTCTTGAATCTTTGCTTCACTCTGTACACACAACTTATACTATTTTACAACACAACTTATGCAACTAATATCAGTCTAACGGTATTTCGCGGTATTATTGAAACTTCAGACTATCTTCAGACTTTAAACTTAAACTTGTCCAACTGTCAAAGCGCGGGCCTTATATACCCCCTGGCGGTTGTTTCTAGATTTTTCTAAAGAATTCTATAATTTTCTTTACTTTCTGGCGAATGCGCCAGGTTCCTCAATGCACGTTGCGATTTTTTAGCAGTATGCAGTTATGCAACCAGTAATACACCTTGACAGTATATACAATCAGTCGACAGTCCGATCAGTCTCACGTCGCATTTCATAGGTCACACATTATAGTACTCACGGGTTTTGTTGCTTGAAATTTGCGTATCGTATAACAAATTAGTGATCGTTATTAACATGCATTTGTCATTTTTTATGGACAAATTTTAGGATATATGGATTCTTTAAAGGAATTTCTGAAAAAATGGAAATTAGAGCATTTATTTGCTATATTTGAAGGTATAAGAGACATTTACCTAATGCACTTGTTTAGGTAATGCATGCGTGACTATAGATAGAATAAGAATATAGGTACCGATTTTTTTTATGCAAATAATTACACAAATTTTAGAATTTCAAGTCGTCGTATTAAAAAATTCAAAATGTGACCAAAGCTTATAATTTTAATAATTTGTTTGCTTTACTTTGATTAATCGTGATGTAACATTTTTTTGTAATTTGTAGAGTGATGAACCACCCCAAAAAATACCAAGAAGTGAAGAAGCAGAAATAACTACCTACTATCGAGGAAAATTATATCACTTTACTTACTACAGACTAGGAAAACCTAAATTTATCAGAAAACAATATTCCTCGTAATATGCCTGTATTTGTTGTTTAGACTTCTCTTAGATCAAAATAAATTTTAGTTGAGTGAGTGGTATTCGCTATTGGTTTAAGAAAAGTGTCTTTTTTTTCATGAATCAAAGAGACTACACTGTAAAAAATCAGCCTGAGTGAACACATATTTCTCAGGGAGTGAATTTTTTGAGTGAAATAATTGAGTACATTTTTATCTAAAATAGAGTAAATTCATCATTTTACTCAAATATGATCTCTATTTAATCAATAGCTATTGAATAAGCTCATGTTCGAGTTATAACCCCTATCTTTGAGTAATGGAATAGAAAATTCAATTAAAAACTCATGTTATAGTTTTACACAATAAAAATTTGAGTGAAATCACCCAGTTTAGAGTATTTTCGCTCATTACTAATCATACGTCATACGCGCTTCTTCGATACCGAATAAGCTATTTCCCTGTTCCTCAGTTTTTAATTATCTGTTCGAGTCGTAGGTTGTCTTGTTCCTTCGAAGGTGCCCAGGGGTGGAACTCTGTAACGAAATAGCGATCGAGAATACGGTCGCTTGGCCGTTTGGCACTCTCTAATGCAATTCGGATGATTCCGGGCATAATACGAGAGACCCGAACGTACTAGAGATAAAGACAAATGAATAGGTGTTTCTTCCAAAGCGATAGTAGTTCTATTTCACTAACTTATTAAATCGTATATCGTGTTGCTTTGTCTACGTTTCATGGAATTTGACATTTGACTTCACAATTTGAATTACGATATTATATATTATTTGTATCTGTTTGTATTTACAATATATTTTTATAGTTATTTATTTTATAGTTTACCTTGAAGAAATTAAATTATTTTTATTGTTTAAATTGGGTGAGTAGGTACAATAGTATTGGATGTAATACAAGTAGTATCTTTTAAATCTTATGTGAAATTAAAATAGCATCATCTAAACATAACCTTTTTTTCAATTTTTTTACATTTGCATATTTTTCTTTTATTACGTTTTAACCAGTTTTAACATTTGAAGAGGTACATTACATAGGTTTTTCTTTTTTTTTGTATATATGTATTTATTTATATTATTAATTTTAATGTACTTCTTGTCTTGTTTTTTCAAAACAATTTATACCTACTTGGTTGTTAAAAATGCGATTTTGTGTTTTATGTACGTATAGAAGAATGTGCAGTGAAGTAAGCCCTTTAGCTGTGAGCTCTGAAAGAGCCTCAAGGACAAGTCCGGCGCAGTGGTCTGCTATGGTTGATTTTTTTCTTGACCATCCAGAGATGGTAACCCGGACATTTTCAGGGCTAGATGCCCGACAAAAATACAATGAATTGTGGAAGGAACTGGCAACCAGCCTTAATAGCATGGGCTATGGAGCAAAGACTCCAGACAAATGGATAGACGTAAGTGTAAACAGGGCAAAGTTTGCATGTTTAAATAGATCCCAGTTATTTAATATTAAATTAAAAAATATGTTTGCCTATTTGTTTTTTATTTAGAAATAAATTAATTAAATACATTGTTACAGGCCTTTACAAAATGGAAAAGTAAAGTTAAGGCAAAAGCTCAGGCAATACGATTGGGGTTAAAAAAGACTGGGGGAGGGGCTCCTCTTCCTCCACTAACTCCAATAGAGGAGAAACTAATGGGCATCTTAGGATGGACCATTGTGGTTGGAGACGGAACACCTGAATTAGGCCTTGTAAGTTATTTTGTTATTATGTAGTCCAACAAAAATATCATTGTATTTTTAGGAGAATGTTTCTATGCCATCAACATTGTCGTCTACTCCGAATATAGTCCAGGCTAGTAAAATTTTAACGATGCCACCATTGGTCCCTTTAACAAAAAGTGAAGCTACACCTGTTCATGTGCCACCATTGGTCCCGGTTGAAACTACACCTGTAGCAGTAGTTCAGTCTCCAGTACTGCCTCACACTAGCTCTCAATCAACATTAGAAGCCAACTTTTATGATCCCGATGATCAGACAATGACTGATTCGGTGAATCCAGCCCCCATAGACAATAGGGAGAACGTACAGAAGCGTACAGCAACAACCAGGAATTTGGCTAAAAAACGGAAGAGGGTAGGAACTGAAGTCACCCTGTCCAGCATGCATCAAGAGACACTCTCTGTGTTAAAAGAAATTAGTAAGAATATAGGAAGACTTGCCGACAAGCAAGGGTGTAATTGCAATTGTAATTGCTTAAAATAAGTTTTTTATTTATTTTTATTTTGGTTAGAAGAATTTTGCTTTTTTAATTTTAGTTATCAGAATCGATTTTTTTAAGTTTTATTTTGTTGATGGATTTTTTTTTTAATTAATTTATTTTGATTATTAGAATTTATTTTTTATTTTTGTTATCAGAATTTATTTAATTTTTGATTTTGGTGATGGGATTTTTTTTTATTTGTTTGTTTCGATTAGAATTTTTATTATTTTTGTATCAGAATTTTTTTTTAATTTGTTTATTTTGGTTATTGTTACTAGATGTTAGATTAGTATATTTGACTGAATATTAGGATAATTTAAGGAGTATGCCTTCATTTAACTTTGTTGCAATACTTTCCAAAGATTTTGTTTAGTTTTAGTGTTTTTTTTGTTAAACAATGCAAATGTTAACTTTTATTTGATTTTTTTAGTTTTGTTATGCGAATTGATTTTCGTTTTTTTATTGACATTTTTGTTACTAGATGTTAGAGTAGTATATTTGACTGAATATTTTAAGGATAATTTAAGAGTATTCCTTTGTTCATTTAACTTTGGTGCAATACTTTCCAAAGATTTTGTTTAGTTTTAGTGTTTTTTTTTTGTTAATGTAAATGTTTTAAGATTTGTTTCTGGTGGTTTAATTTATATTTATTTTTTATATAATTACATGTACCGTATGATCGAATAAAAACGGCGTCAGCGATGGCTATGAAATGAAGATCGCTGTTATTTTATATGTAAAATTATATGGGAAATATTATCGATCGTCATTTCTTAGCCATCGCTGACGCCGTTTTTATTCGATCATACGGTATATAGTATAAGTGTTAACAAGTGGTATTATTGAAAAAATAAATAATATTTTTGAAATACAGCAGTATATTTATTATTTAAAGTTTAGTTTTATTTAACGTTGTAAAACATAAGAGATGGTGATTAAGATATAATACTAAAACTGTTAAAAACTAAATTTAAAAATGTAAATCATATAGAATAATTATATTTATTAATTTTTTAACTTAACATATGTATATAACTAAGAAAATAAAAAATGGATCATAAAATTATAACAATTTAGCAATTTTAGTATTAAAAAGCAATAATTTTATCTTTGAAAATATCTATTTAGGAGTTGCTGTCTGACTTGCCTAGCTTCTTCTAATACTGGCAAGCCTGGAACTTGATTGTTGCCCTGGAAGTTGATGATGTCCATATTCAAAATATTGTCTTGGAAATTGATCTCGTACTGAACTGCAGCTCTCAGAGATATGTTATGTAACACCGCACAAGCATTTATTATTGTTCCCACTTTAATAGGATTATACCGGAGTTTTCTTTCTCCTAAAGTGCATCTAAACACAAGTTTTAAGCGTCCATTACACCTCTCTATTATACTTCTTGTTATCTTGTGAGAGTGGTTGTATCGGCCTTCAGGACTGTCTGGATTTGGATTTTCAAATGGTGTTAACAGCCATGGCTCCAATGGATATCCTGAATCTCCTAGCAACCAATTATTTCTTCCTCCTAAAAGAATATATGCAATTTTAGTGTTTTTAGGCAAAAATTTTCTTAGAATGCTTTCAAAAGTAAAAAATATATCTTAAATTATAATCAAAACTAAATCAGCAAATGCACTCTTATACACATATTAAACTGTGGTTTTCCATGTTTAGATTTTATTTCAATTTATATTATCTTAGTTAGCTTATTAACTACACTATTCAAGAAGATAAACTACAAGTAAGTACCTAACAATGGTATTCTAATTGCTTTTCATGCAAATTAATAGTTTTTCTCTCGAGTATATACCTATATATTACAAGTTTATTAATTACTTACCTCTGTTATATTCTTCTTCAAGCAAGTGTTTTATTTGAGAACCTCTCCAAATAAATGCATCATTTGTTGAGCCTGGATACATGGCATTAATATTAAGAATTTCTAATTTGTCGTTACAAATTATTTGCACATTTTTGGAGTGAAAGCCCTTCCTGTTAACATAAATGTGTTCCTCATGGGCAGGTGCTAAAATTGCGATGTGGGTGCAATCTATGCATCCAATGATTCCTGGGAATCCAGCTTTTTCCATAAAGCGCCTTTTTATATCATTTCTTCTTCTTTCATCCATGGGAAATTTAATCCATAGTCGACTTAAATTTGTAGCTATACAAGTGGCTACCTCATCTATACACCTGCTAACCACTTGTTGACTGGCCGAGAGCAAGTATTCTTCACCCACACCTCTTTGGTAGTCACCAGTCGCAAAAAATCGCAGCGCAACTAATATGCGGGTTTGACGAGGAACCCGTGACCTTCTCTCTTCAGCTTCCATAAATGGCATTAAAGTCTCAAACAAATAGTGGACTACATTTTTATTTAATCTGAAGAGATCAATGAACCTCCTATCGGGCAATGCAAATGGATCACTTGCATCTCGCATGGTTCTTTTTTGTATGCGGTTTTGGTACATTCGTTCATCGTTTTGAACTTCATTTATCAAAAACATCTGAACCGGCAACATTTTTATTACAAATAATCACTGGTTGAAGAACCAAAAACTACAAAATAACAAGTAGGAAGAACTAATAACTACGAAAAACTACAAAATATCTAAGAACTACTAAAAACTATGAAAATTTAAAACTACAAAATAACAACTAGGTGGGAAAAACTAATAACTACGAAAACTTAAAAACTACAAAATAACAACTAGGAACAACTAATAAAAACTAGGAAATCGAATCTACGTAAACCAAAGACCAGCCAGAGAATAGATGTAAAAAAATGTGAGGTTATTTTCACTCAGACGTCATTTTCTTCTTTGTCCAGTTTGGCAATTAGACAAAATAAGATGTTTTCAGGATTGATTATATAAAAAATCTCTATCCGATTAGAAGTACGAATATTGCCGAGATTATACGATAGTCTTAGAGATTTGCTTATAAAGTTTCAATAATTTCAACGATCTCTATCTCTTCTCTTACTTATCTCTTTCGCTTTGGAGAAAATGTCGAGATACAGAGTTCCACCCAGGTTACAAGTCCATAGTGTATGTGTGTGTGATGTAAAGTGTGACAGTGGCGCGTGGCGTGGTGAAGCGAATACGAACTCATAACTCCTAATATGTTTATGTTAAGAACATTTTTTTTCACATCGCAGAAATCCGCCTAACATATATTCAAATTCGACTGCGTCTACTGATTGCCGCAATGCTCGGATGTTTCCTGGACTAATTAGCGTAGCGAAAATCTAGGTACTTTCCCTCAATCTGGAACTGGGAACTGGAACATTTGGCAGAATAACATTTTTTTTTAATTTTCAGGAGGAAAACGCATCTGGATTTTCGGAGGATTTTCGGATTAAAAAGTTAGTTTAGAAATTAAGAAATATTCGAGAATGTTGGTAGCCGAGCTGACGAATACTCTCTAATAAAGCGGATTTTGCGATGTGATGCAACTTTTCTAGACATCTAGCTTAAAAGTTCCTGTATTTTCCAAAAGAGTTGAAAACTTTTTAAAATGTTTTTGATATTATAATAATAGTGTTATATTTGGTTTATTTGTTTTTTTTGTCAAATAAAAATGACAAATAAAAAATATTTTTGAAGGTTCTACAGTTTTTATTTGGTTTGTTAAAAAAACGAAATATTCTAAATGATTTTTAAAAAGCTATGTAAACTAACTTGTTATTTTTATTACAAGTGACCGTGATGCCTCCCAAAAGTGAATTTTAGGAAATGGACATGTTCGAGACCATGTCCTAAACTGAAATCCCTACCTTTGAAAGGCACCTGCCCACCTGTTATAAAATAACAAGTTAGCTTTACATAGCTTTCAAAAATAATTTAATGCTATTTCTAATACTGAGTGAAATTAATACTCAGATATGAGTACTAATCGAGTTAAATTAACACAAATTTGAGTAAAAGTCACTAATAAAGGTGTCTTGAACTCAACACTTAGTGAAGTTCACTCATTTTAAAGTGAATAAATTATCAAAATCGATCAAATCCTACTCAAGGTAAACAATAATGAGTAAAAAGAGTCTTTCGTCTAATCTCAGATTGAGTGAAAACACTCTAGTGCTTTTCACTCTGAGAATGAAGATTCACTCGGTTCTGTAGGGGTGGAAATTTCACTCAATCAGGTGTGGACAGAAATTGAGAAAGTATTATTGAGTGAAATCTGAGTGAAATTTCACTCATTTTTTTACAGTGTATTGTTGTAGCAAGAACTTCTTTTGCATATTAATTTTGGGTCAAGAGTGAAATACTTTTGGACAGATAGATTCTTCTATTCTCTAAAGTAATTTTTAAAAGCTTATGAAAAGATAGTTAATACTTTGGGCAAAGAAACGTCGTTCTTGGCCCTATTGAAAAGCTTTAATCTTTTGGGTCAAAGTCATATTCATTTCGACTGAGAGATCCTTTTTTCAGTGTGGAAATACGCTGCTTTAAAATGAACGTCTCGGAAAAATTCTTCACCAGCAGAAAGTTTTATGTGTAAATAATCAAGGCGACATAGGCGAAACCGGATTTATGAGTATTTGCAATAACAACAACGGTTGTCAAATTAAAAAATGCCATTATCTGTGACGGATGTTGCTCGTATTGTGGCTTTAATTAAAAGTATGGTCGAAGTCAACGTTATGTGTCCAATACCTGGGTATACATCGAACAACAGTCCAGGATGCCTGGAATCGGTATATGGGAAACAAGGAAATTTCCGCAGGCAGTGGATTCCGGAAGAAAACAGAAGACAAATGCAATTGAGGACCGCTTTATTGTCTGAATACTTTACAAAATCGTAGAATCTCAGCGTTTCAGAATCAACATCTGCTACAAGCCGTGCGTAGAACTCAAGTCAGTGAGAGAACAATCCAACGTAGACTATAAAAGAAAAAGCCAGTGGCGGGGAGGCAAGCCACAGGACCCCAGCTACTTCCAAGACATCGTCGAGCACGTCTTCAGTTTGCACGTCTACATGTGAATTGGGATATAGAGCAATGGACTAAAGTCCTTTTTCACAGATGAATTGCGGTTTTGCCTGATGCGAAGCATTTTTCCGAGACGTTCGTATCGAACAGAGATAATGTCGTGATTAAAAAACAAAATGCTCAAAAGATGAGGCTACAATGTGATTTGATTTAGCAATAGCTACTATATAGCTGCGCACCACTACAGGGTGTTACAAAGTTCGGGCAAAAACTTCGTCTTATATTCTTGTGCCCTGTATATGCCTCAAAATTAATTCGAAATAAAAATTTCTTGATATAGCGTCCGTTAAGAAGGAATTAATTTATAATTAAAAAAAATCATCAAAATCTAATGAGTGGTTCGCGAAAATCCAACTTTGAAATTGGGACTAGTTTTTAATGGCCGTTTTTTGCCGGTGAGTTTATATAATATTTAATATTTATACAATTTTAATTGTATTTTTAGACATTAATGAATGATCGTAAATTAAAAAGTAATAAAGTGTAACTGAAATCACTTATTTTATTCCACTAATATGGGAGTTCTGAAATCCTGAAATGCTTTTACGGATAATTTAAAAAATTGCCGAAGCTTAACACAAACTGACTTTTTAGTTGTTCTTTTGTTTGTCAAAATTATTAATAAAATATTTTTAACGTAAGTACCTACTGGCATTTATTATTAAATAATACATATTAAAAATCTATTTAAAAATAAAATTTAAAAACCCGGATTATCCGAGCCGCCATTATCCTAGCTATAGATTACAGAACCCATCACATTAGCTCAAATAATCGAGAGTCTACATTACTTCTACTCAACTATTATCTCATTCCGTGCATATCTCCAACACTTCTCGAAGTCATCTTGAAAATAGAATGGCTAAAAGAATAAAATAGTTGCGAATAGAGCTCACAAAAAAAAAAGAAAAAAAATGTACGCCGCTGTCCGAAGAAACAAGTACAAAGGCACTATACCTCGAACAGACACAATACTCCGCTCAGGGTTACCAATTAATTACGAAAACCGAAGCGAACGAGGCCAATACTCGATCACGTGACCGACAGAGGTCTCACGACGTATCGCCTACAGCAACAAACGGTTGAATAACATTCGAAAGTCTTTTCGATCTCCTATCAGGAGATGAGAAGTAGGCTGGAGAAATCCCCATTTCGCATTTACTTCGACCCGTGAGCCGCTGCTTGCTCCTGCTATGCCCGACATGACGGGCAATAGGAAGCGTTCAACAATAAGAGATCCTGCAAGTGATTGGCCGAAGTTTAAAGGGGATTAACCGGGCACGCCTTCGACTCCACCCTCGGCCAATAATGATTGGTAGAAGTGGCAGATGTTTTTGTGTCGGCCAAGTTGTTGTAAGGATTTTTTATTAATGAAATGGCAAATTGGGTTGTGAAATGGAGTTGGCCAGGTGGTGGAGAATGGAAAGGTGCATTAATTTTGATATACTATGTTTTTGTTACCCTGGTAGTTGATGAGTAATGTAGATAATCATTTATGAAATTTGTTCTATTTCCTAAGAAGAATTAGGATATGATAGAAATTCTAATACTTATAAACTGAAAAAAATTACAAGTAGGTAGAGAAGTGAGGGTACTTATTTTGAAAAAGTAGTTACAAAAAATTGCAAAAAAAATTAAATCTTGATTATTTTGAATAAAATAAATAGCGTGCCTCGATCTATATTAATATGTATTATTATTATTATGTACCTATATTGGGCGAGTCTTAAATAAGGCCAAATATTTTCAAAGGGTGGTATAGTTCGACCCCAGGAACACGTCTGTGAGGGTTTTTTGCAAAAAAAAGATGTTGGAGATCGTGCATTTTCTTTTAAATTTCCCCTGTTTATTTTTAGAAAACTTTTAAGAACTGCCTGTTCACGGGCAAATTTTCCCACAGTATAATTTTTTTAATCTCTGATATTACCATAGTTACGGCACTAAAAGGAATGCAATATTGCCACTCCTAATATACATGACATATAATCTCTAAGTGTCCGTACCAGAAATTGTCGCTAACAAATGTAAAAATTGTTGAAAAAAAGGGAGAAAATTCAGCAAAGGTGTAAACAAAATATCCTTTTATTGTAAAGTGCAGAGATACTAGTTACGCCATTATGATTAACTTTATCTATTTCAGTATAAAAACACCCCCTTTAACCGTTATATAAGTTTAATTAGAAATAACGTGAACTAAATCTTATACACAATAATACAAATTACACTTTTCGGGACTAGCATACATTATTATCTCTGATTATGTAATATCAAATACATAAACGTGTGTTTTGAGTACCTATAATAAATTGTTTTTACTCGATTTTTCAATGTTTTACCTATTGAGGGTATTACAATTATTGAGGGTTTGGAACCTCTGATGTTACAACAGCAAAATAAAACACTAATTCACCACAGTACACCAAACCACTAGATATAGGTACATTTTGCATTCGTAATTATAATAAAGATACGCAGAATCCTTGAAATAAAAAACACTTTTTTCCCAATTCAAACAAATGACACGAAATTTTTTTTCTATCTATCTCCTTGTGACATTGCGATTTTTTCAAATAAGAAAATAATGAGCTCAATTAACAAAGTAAAAACGATTCTTCGTTCATTTTATAATTAAAACAGTTAACATTGTTTTTGGTATGTGTTATTCTGTCAACTGTCAAAGTCGTTGGCAGTTTTGGCGTAATATCTTATTAGATGGCGTCGCTAGATATTTTTTCAGGATGGGCCAGCACTGGGACCAGGTTTTATTCAGGTGGAGCCAGATAATTTACCATATCATAGTTGTTGATTATATTTTCTGGACATTGCGGGGTAGGCCATTAGGTGGGCCCAAAGCTAATCCAGGGGTGGGCCACGGCCCCTGTAAAATGAACTATTTCGTAGCTTGAATGTTTTAAGACCGTTTAAGACTAAATTAATTGCCTAGAGATTATGTAGTAGGCGAAAGACCTATTAGAACGATTATTTAGTGGGATTGTCTCTGGTGAGAACTAAATGAACTATAGCAGAGAT